TTTTTTTTTATTTTTCTTTTTTAACATGTGACAAGTACTTTATATACTTTTGGGAATGATCTTTTTCTGGTTATTATGGTTATGGTGAAAATGATTGATGTTGTTGTTGCTCTTCTTCTTGTTTTTATTATTGTGGTTCTTCTTCTGATTGTTTGTCTACTTGTTTGTGGTTGCATATATTTTCATACAGTAAATGTTGTTTCTAATAATTCTTCAAACTGCAAAATTTTGCAGTTTCATCAGCTTGTTTCTAATAATTTTTAAAACTGCAAAAATATGCAGTTTCATTAGGTTGTTTCTAATAATTCTTAAAACTGCAAAATTATGCAGTTTCATCAGGTTGTTTCTAATAATTCTTAAAATTGTAAAATTTTACAGTTTTATCACTATGAAATATGAAATAAATGAATCATGTAGTAAAACTGCATTTCAATATTATACAGTTTCAATAAGAAATTTTCAATAACCTTCTCAGCATTCCATAAAAATAAAAAAACAAAACAAGACTGTTACAAAACAACTTCAATAACTAAAGAACACATCAAAAAACAAAAAACAATTCAACCAACTTTATTCAATACTTCCATAATACCAAGTATCACATTTTTTATTATCATAATTCCTCAAATTCAAATACAATTCCAAAAGAATAGATTATGGCCTCAAATAGCAGCCTTGCACGTCTTCTTATTGTGATTCCCATATTTCAAGTACCTCCTACACTTGATTTGCTTCATATTCTCACCCCTAGAAGGTCTCCTCTTTTTCTTGTTTCGCCCGGGTTGCTTCTTCGTTATAGGAGGTTTGATAATCGAACTACCGACACCATCAAAGTCAAATCTCTCACTTGAAGGCACTGGATAAACAGATTCCTTGTATGACTCTCTAAAACAATCTACATGAAAAAATGTATCAATGAAACGGTGGACTTTGCCCTGGTCTTAATGATGTCATCAGACAGGTCATATTATATGGATGTCTCTTTTGCTTAAAAGTTCTATCCACATCAAACCTGAGTTGTCTTTTAAGAGTCATCATATTCAACATCCAATACTCTGTGGAACCATTGTAGCATTGCAATCGAATTTTTAACTATTTATTTGTGAAATGCACTCTTTAGCTTGCACAGATGTATTGCTTGGTAAGGCTTTTCTGTTGGATTGGTGTCCAACTTTCCCATGATGTGTAGTAGATAATTTGCAACTCTAAAGGACTCCTTTCTGAACTTAGTGTTAATGTAGGAATTCTGTTTCTTTACTTGCAGATTGTCATCTTTTATTTTTGTTTGGTAATGGGTGCAGATTGTCATCACTCTAGAAATATATGGTGTGAAAAAGATTGTTGGGATTCCTTTTGGTTACCGTGGATTTTCCGAGGAAGGCTTAAGTGAAATGCTTGTGAGTTCTTATTTCTATCCTTGAAACTACTCGCCTGTATGAGTTGAATTAATTGTTGTTACACACTCAAGATATTCTGTTGTGACATTTCTTCTTAACAGACTATTGAGTGCGATGGTCTGTTTCCATAAATATTTTATTCCTGAAGCTAGCTCCCCTGATATATAATTTACTTGGAAGGATTTTGCACAAATATAATGTCCTAATTTTTAGCTGGCTTAACAGATGGTCTGGTGTTGCTTAAACTGCCTTAACATATGGTTTGAAAGGACCATTAACTAGAATGTTGCCTTAGTAGCCAATAAGTAGCTACACTGTTATATGGTTTCTTTGGTAAGATGAAATGTTACCTTGGTGTCAATACCGATTTGTCCGAGCTCTTGGAATTGGAATAAGTTCGGTAGCAGATCACGAAATCTTGGTGATCTTCTCTATCTAATGAATGGGGAGTTTTCTTTAAAACCGTCTGCCTTGCACCCACCCCGAGTATATGCTTCAATAGGAATCACACAAAGGTAGATTAGAAACCTCTGGTAAAATGTCTACTCATAACCCAGCATATAAAGTACATTACATAGTCCGTTTTAGGGATTGGCGACTTACCCATTCAGTGCCTTTGGCATTGGACGTTCCCCAAATGGGTACTTTTGGGTGGGGTGAATTCAGTAATAGACGCCTGTTGGCATTCCAGCCTTCCTTCTCCTTTCAGAGCTTATCCGAAAGAGAATCCGATACTTCTTGGTCGTGAATATCTAAATTGGTTGTTTGCTGTTCAAGAATTCTTGTTTAGGCAATTCATACCATCCATACGTAGTGTTTTGATCTAAGATTTCAATTCTTCCATGTTTCAGCAGTATCGTATTGTTCCATGGAGCTAAGATCTGAAATATGGAAGAAAGAAGAAACCAATCCTTCCCCTCCCAAACACATATTAATGTGTACTAATTGGGCATTGTTTTATTTGTTTTGCGTCTGTGTTTACTAGCCAATTGCTTGTGGCTCTGGTTTATGCCTTTCTCTTGCTAGTTGCCAACCAAATCGGCACTAAAATTTGGCTCCAGTTGATAGTAATTGGTTATAAAATAATCTCACACTTTGATTGGTTGGATCTTGTGAAATAATATCAAACTTTTGATGGATCTTTAAAAGTTAACCATATGGATTTGGGACAAGGCTTGTTGATTCTAGCCACACTCATGTTTTTACTTTTAAGATATGAATGTCTCTTCTTTTGTGAGTATGTGCTGAAAATTTGAGCAATTTCTTAAGCATGTCCTTGATTGTAGCTATCCAGGAAAGTGGTTCAAAATGTCCATCTTTCTGGTGGAAGCTTGTTAGGAGTCTCGCGTGGAGGACCCAATGCTAGTGACATTGTGGATAGTATGGAGGTGCGTGCTATGTTCATATCTTTTCACTAGCAAATATTTCCCTAGTTTTCTCTACTGTTTTTGTAGAAAATGCAAATGGAGTTTACAAATAATTGTCACTTATATGTGCATGTGCCAATCCATGTCAGGCAAGAGGAATCAACATGCTTTTTGTGTTGGGTGGAAATGGAACCCATGCCGGTGCCAATGCAATACACAATGAGGTCGGTGGGCCTGTAACATTTTACACATGGGCACTTTATGTTATATTCTCTAGTGTGCTTTAAATGTTGTCTATACATATCATTGCTTTTTTCTTTTTCCTTTTTTTAAACTCAGCTTCCATAGGGCATGTTTGTTCAAGTTTAATTTAATACTTCTCAATTTTAAGCTTTGCATGGCATGTATTTTTCTACAAACTTTTGGGACGGACATGAAAATGAACAAAACTAATAATAATGCTATGATGACCACATTATTTTAATACATTTTGTATGTCATGTGATGTGTCATCATTACATTGGTAACAAATGTGAGTGGTGGGACCCATTAGACCAATACGATGACATATGAGATGGTATGCAAAATGTGGTAAGATAATGCGGTCACTATAGCATTATTGTGAAACTAAAACTTCACTCTTATGCATTCTTCACTGCTTGTTACTGAATCTTTTACATATGTTTCGGTGAGGATAAGATTTTACCATTTCTTGCCCTGTCCTGGAGTCATGAACACTTCTGCTACCCACTTCTATTGGTTTGTGTTTCATTTAAAAATTCTAATTTCTTCACTCCTTGGTGTCTAGTGCCGTAAAAGACGGCTGAGAGTGGCTGTAGTTGGTGTGCCAAAAACCATAGACAATGATATTCTGCTGATGGATAAAACTTTTGGTTTTGATACTGCTGTTGAAGAAGCACAACGTGCAATAAATTCTGCGTACATTGAGGTACAAGTTAATTTAATTCTTGTTGCCCCTCTACCTTGTTCATTGTGCATTTTAAGACCATTCATTAATTTAGGTTTCTATTTATGTGATCTTTGTATTTGAAATCTAGAACCCTTTCCTAGTTTTGATATTTTGATATTTTGATATCTTATTACAGGCGCATAGTGCTTATCGTGGTATTGGGATTGTGAAATTGATGGGTCGTAGTAGTGGATTTATAGCCATGCATGCATCCCTTGCTAGTGGACAAATTGATATATGTTTGATCCCAGAGGTACTTCCTGAGGGTATTAATTGAATTTCTTTTATGAGAGCGTAGTTACTGACTCGGTCTATATTTGCACTCTAAGGTACATTTTAATTTACATGGACCCCATGGTGTCCTGAGTCATCTGAAATACCTACTTGAGACAAAGGGATCAGCTGTAGTCTGTGTGGCAGAGGGAGCTGGGCAGGTGACTTTTGCTGTGTTCTCATTAAATGGCTTCTAAGTCAAACTGTATTCAGATAAATGATTCATATATGTCTATTGCTGTCCCATCTATGTGTGAATGCCGTATGATTCCTTGTCATGTAATATTCTTTGCACTACCTGTATCTTTTCTTCCAGCATTTATTGAAGAAGTTTTTGAAGAAAAAAAAAAACATATGAGAGAAGTGCCGTGTGAGATACTTAAGTCAAGAAGTCCATTATGGCTCTTACAATGGTCTGACTTATTCAGTTGCAGAATAGCTGATTTCTGTCTTTTTTAGTCGATGAACTGCTTTCCTTCTTTTTTATTTTTTTAAATTTTTTTTCTTACTTGTGGATCCTTTGAGGGGACACTAGATCATTTTTTTTTTTGCCCCTGGGGAAAGAAATGATTTTACATGTTGGCTACAATGAAATGATGCTTTTAGCTGCCATTGGAGTACATTTATTGAATTAGTTCTGAATATTCATAACTCATTGTCAGGCTTACTTTTTCCCTTCAAACCATTGCTTTTTTTCCAGTGGATAGCTGCCCTAGTGTTCAGAACAATGCTTCTATCATTTTATCGCATTGTAGATGGTTTCCCAGCAAGGATCAATGTTGTTTGCTTTTTTAATTTAAGTGCACCCAAGCTAGATAGTGTTGTACAACATTTTTCCTTGTTTATGCTTTGGAATCTGTCAAAATTCTTTGTACCATACTTATTGGTTAGGAGTTGGTAGCTTTTCTTTTGGAGTTTTGTATTTTTTTGCATCATCTTGATGCTCTTTCAATAAAGTTTATTTATTTATCCAAAAAAAAATTTCTTCGTACCATACTTTGTGGAAAATTTGTCTTGATGCTTATCTTCTGTCCCAGAATGTTTCTCGTTAAAATTAGATATGCAGTTATTCTTCTTACATTTTCTTGGTAGTTTCTGAAATTTTGGTTATTCATTTCATGTATTTTTTCATCATCTTGGCCTCAAATTTGATTTTCCTGTGTCTTGCATGCCTTATATATCTAGAAAGCAGAACCTCTTACCTTGACTCCAAAGTCACATGTAAAATTTTTTATTTATTTTTCTTTATTCTGCCTATTCCTTCTCTTTTTACAGGATATGTTTAAAGGTTAAAAATCCGGTTTATGGTACCACCATCATTTACAACACCATTTTTTTTTTTTAATACAAATTTTGCAGGATGGAAATTTGTATGTTGAAGTTTTAGTCACTTCCATTGTGATATTTACCCTGTTAAAAGGAATTTTCAATTTCCTTTCTTACGTTTTCCACTCTACCAAGCTTCCATTCATAATTTTATATTGCTGCCTCATTCCCTCATTAGAACCTAATAATGTAACCTTGTTAAATGTATGAAAGCTCTTTCTTCTTGCCAGCATTGCACTTGATATTTCCATCTATGTATTTGTCTTTTTCCTGTTTAATACAAGATTTGGCAAGTTAGACCTACAGTTACTGAAATGAGATGGTGTGCATATTATGTTATATTGATAAGGTAGGGTGCGTGCATACAGGTCTTTGTTTTCTTTTTTCTTTTTTCCCTGCAAATGTGTTAAAATCCACCTACTCTCCACCTACTTCACCCACTTAAACCTACTCCACTAAACCTAACCCACTACACCACTATCACCTCACCTACTCCACTAAACCTAACCCACTACACCACTACCATGATTGGGTGCAATGGCTTGCAGTGGTCGAAGTTCTGGAAAGTGGGTCTCTTCAAAGCCGTGAGCACGCAGTGGATGTGTGAGGCTTCCTCACCAGAGTGTTTCTCTCCATTGTTACTTGGAATCCAAAACAAACCAATACTTTGCCTTTCTTTCTTTTTCTCTTCCCTTTTCCAACCTTCTCCACTCATTTATTTTATTATTATTTTGTACAAATCCAACCCATCCTTTTTCTTTTCTCCCAAGTTTCTTGGGGGAATGTTGTTCTCACTGCTGCTTACCTTATTAACCATATGCCTTCTAGTGTCCTTCAATTCCAAATTCCTATTGAACTTCTCCCTGTGACTTATCATTCTGCTTCTCTTCTACCTCGGGTTTTTGGGTGTGTCTACTTTGTTCATCTTTATCCTCGTACTCGTGGGAAGCTTGATCCTAAGGGTACACGTTTGTGCTTTTATTGGATATTCCGCTACTCAGAAAGGTTACAAATGCTATGATCCTCAAACTCGCAAGATGCATGTTAGTATGGATGTTACCTTTCGTGAATCTAAGTCTTTCTTTTCTTCTCCGCCATCTCCTCAGGGGGAGAGTATTATAGATGAAATTGCGGATGAGATGATGTCATATCAGCGGGCTATTATTTGTGATGAGGGGGAACCTAAGAGTCCTGTTGATGGAGAGCCTAGCATAGGTGGCCGTTTAGACAAGGTTGATCTTAAGACTTATTCACAAAGAGACTTCTCTTGTGCCACCAGGTGTTATGATTAAAGATTTTATAAAAAAATTCTAACAGGATCTGAAGTAAAAGCATAATGTATAGTCATACACAGAACTACCCTTTATAGGCCTTGTTATTTTTTTTGTTCAAATTGCTTTTTAAAAACATCAAAATCATTTGCTGATATGCTTATACAATTCATACAAATAGACAGGACAGTAAAGAAACATCAAAATTGCTGATCTGCAAGGGCACCAAAAAAATAAAAATAAAAATAAAAAATAGCTGATCTGCAAGGGCACAAAAAAAA